GTGTCTGTGCGTGTGGGTGTGTGTGGGGCGTGCGTGGCAGGTGCGGGTGCTGGGTGTGGCCAGGCGCGGACGCGTGGGACCCCTCCCCCTTGCGGCGCCACCTCTGTAATTGATGTACATACTGCAAACGTGTGTGACTCTGTCAACTCTCTGTCGTCTTCGGCACGATGCGGTCGTGTTGTTCATCTGGGTTTGTTTCGTTTTGTATTTTTGTTCCCCTTTTGTTTTTATGTTTCCTTTCGTTCGGTTCGTTGGGTTGTGTTTTTCCCTCCTGTCCCCGCCCCTCCCCTCCTTTCTATGAAACTTGAAAACTTGAAGGACTGCTGTGTATTTGTAAATAACAAAAAACGACTGTGCACTCCGTGCTTGTACATGTCCCTCGTCCGAACTGCTACTCCCGGAGCCCCTCTCCCCGAGGATGTGGTCTGTCTCCCGTGCCCCCCGCCCCCGTGTGAACGTGTGGGACCAGACCCTGTGCTCGGGGTGCGCTCAAGTCACTTTAGCCACAAAACGCCACTGTCGCCAGGGTGAGGTCCCTCTCCGCAGCCTCGGAGCCCGGCGGGGGGGGGCCTTGTCTTGGCTGGGTTTGTTGAGGTCCAACGGGCTCTTTTTCACGGCCTGCCAGTTTTTAAATTGCGTTGCCATTTCTTTCTTTATGGAAAAAAAAAAGAAAAGAAACAGAAAATGGTTCCGTTTAATTTATTTGCACAAATGCAGAAGACGTATTCTATCTAAATTATTACATAAATATTGGAATTGTATATTTTTCCACGGGGCGGGCGGGAGGCGGGGGTTTCTGTTGACTTGTCTATTCTCTTATCATGCTGCTGCCAAACTGAGCGAGGTAGAGTGGAGGGGGCCCAGGGGCCAGGGACCGTGGGATTTCAAAGCTTGCTTTTTTCCGTTCTCTCTCCTGTTCTCTCCCTGTTCTTCCGCCCCTGCATGGACGGGCACTCCACCTTTCTCCCCACTCTCTCCAGGCCTTTCTCTCTCTATTTATTTATCTGAACCACAGAACACTGACCTCAGTGAGCAGAGCGCATCCTACAAGGGTCACCTTCTCTCGGGTCTGTCTGTGGAGTGAGGTTGGATACAGGGGGAGGCAGCCAGTCCCATGACCCTCCTGCGGCATCCGTTCCTCCCTGCAGCTGTGTCTCTCCACCTTGGTTTACTCTCACCTTGGCCAGGCAGGTGTCCTTGGAGGTGGTGATGGGCCGGGGGGGGTTCTCTCTCAAGGGGAGGGCTGTTAGGGACACTGACCCCATCCTGGTTGGCCCCTCCAGCCACACTTAGCGGAACCTCTCGGGATCCCCGGGGCCCTTGCTCCAGCGGTCCCAGCAGCCTGGCCCACTCGCCCCAGGAGAGAGGATGGGCAGGAACATTTGCCTATTTGGGAGCTGTGTTGGCCCCAATGAGGCTTCCTGGCAAAGAACATGGTGCATTAAATGTGGGGTGATGGAGATCACGTGAGCTGGAAGCCAGGGCCTCCCCAGGCCTGAAACGAGCTTCCCTCTTCTCTTGGCCCGTGAGTCCCACCCCCCATCCCCACCCACGGCTCCACCTTAACTACTAACAGCTCAGTTCGCACACCCTCTCAACAACAGTAGTTGCGCTTTCTGCTAACAGTAACACTTTCAGCTCTTACAAAGAAACTAAATTTTCAAGTGCTGGAGAGTCTCTATCAGAACGGATAGGGTCTTTTGTCCAAAGTCTCTAAAACAAACAGAAAAGCCCCCGTTTGCCCCTCCCTTCCCTTCTGACCTGTGCGGGGTTGGGAGGGAGCAGGCCGGCACTCACGAAGCTCCCTCCGGCCTCCCGTGGCCAAGCCGGTTAACGGAGAGCCCAGAGCCCATGTCTTTCTCTGCAGAGAGAGATGTTAGAAAACGCTTTCTCCCCCATGAATCTTTTTTTTTTTCCTCTTTTGATTGATTTTTATTGTTTTCCCTTACGAGAAAATAAGATTGCAACCACTCCCGGTAATGATTTAGTAGCTCCTTTTCATTTCAGTTTTTGTAAATTAGGAGATAATTCTCAGAGTTGCTAAGGATGATTTATTTAAGGGAACTCCGTCAAATAGCGAATGAGTTATGGGTAACATTAGATGAAAATAACCTCTCCCGTGGGAAAGGTTTCTCGAAGGCATGGATGCAAATATAAAATATTTAAAAAAATCTAAATAAAGCTTATTTTAAAATATTACCGAACTCTATGTTATTTGATTGCTTCTATGTTGCTCTGGGTGGGGGGCCAAGTCCCCATAACCTGCTTCTTGGAATGCCAGGGCTAGATCCCCAGGGGTTGACGGGAGGGGCCGAGGAAAGCTGGCTGGGTTCTGAGCTGATGGAGGGGCCGAGGCCCAGGTGGCCTTCCAGAAACATCTCGTCTTTGCTGGCTTTACTCTAGGCATCCGGGGCTGCCCGAGGTCCTAATACCCCAGCTCGGAGCCTGGCACCCTGGCTCAGCGCCCCGGTCAGCTTTCATCGGCTTCCTTCTCCCCCTGCCGAAGCCAGAGTAAGCCAGGCTTTTCTGAACCCCGGGAGGTCCCCCAGACGCAAAGCCTCCCCCAGCGAAACTCCACAGTGCGTCCCGAGAAGGGGCCCCCGAGTACCCCATCCGATTGGAGCCAGTGCCTCAGCCTCTATCTCCCAGCCTCAACAGAAAGCTACTCCAGCCGTGAAACTAACGGGAGAGTGGCCTCTTACCTCCCCTGTCATTTCTGCTGGAAGGAAGCGCAAAGCCCGGGATAGTAGACGGTACCGAGAGGCTACAGAGCTCAGGACCGTGAGGAACTAGGCCTTAGTTACTAGGGCCTCTCCCCCAGCCGTGCTCAGCCTGGCCCCACATTAGAATCACCCGCGGAGCTTTCAAACAACGGCCGATGCCAGGCCAGCACCCGAATCAGAGTGTTAACCTCTGGTAATTCCGAGGTGCAGCCGGGCTGGAGGACACCTGGGCCAATTGGAGGAGGGCACGTGGCCTCGAGATGCCACGGCTGCCCTCTCCCTGGCCTCGTGCAGGCATCACGAATCTGGTAAAGGGCCTCCCTGCCCCGCCCAAATCAGGTGGCTCCTGATTTCTTGACTTTACAAAGCCCCAGGCAGCCACTGCCCGTCAGACGGAGTTGGCATACAAGGAGAGAGCCTATGTGCCATCCCCAAACTAACCCAAGCCCCACGCTGGCCCAGAGGAGAGCGGCTCGGCCAAGATCCCAGCTCTCGAGGAGCCGTGTGACCTCTCAGGGGCTGGGCCACACCTTGTTCAGATCTTGGTGGCTCTGCTCAAAGGCCACCCTCCCTCCTTGTCGTCATCTCCGACACCTTGTCCCAAATGGCCCAACTCCGAGTGGCGCCTGTTAGTGAGAAACTGAGGCAGGGCTGCCCAGGCCTCCGGGCCAGGGGAAGCTGCACAGTTGGCACCGCGTGCCTCCGTGAGGCCTTGCTGTGTGGGCGCCCGAGTCCTGCCGTGCGCACCTGCAAGGCTGTCCTCTGCCCTCCTGCAGCTCTCCCGCCTGCTGGTCGGCTCCGACAGGTGCCCCTAATAATAACAGTAACAGTCCCAGCTAACACGACTAAGCACTGACCACAGCCAGGGCCCACTGCGCACTTGACATGTGTTAACTCCGTTAACCCTCCCACGGCCTCCGTGATCGAGAAATCCGGTTAAAGCGTAAACAGTAGCGCTGGGCTTCAAACCTAGGGATGCTGCGCTGCCTCCAGCACAGTGCCAGCTGGGCAGTGCGGGGCTGGCACCCAGCAGGCAGGCACTGTATGTGTTTCAGCCGGGCCTGGTGTGAACCTCACCTCCCCCGCCCACTCCTCCCTCATCCCCATCAGTACTCTCTGGCACAGCCACTCCTTGCACTTGTGACCAAGTCTGTTCCCATCAGCCTTACCCCCAGGCTCAGAAAAAGAAACCCAGGGAGGAGCTGGCGGGAGGGCCGAGCAGACACGGGCGCCGGCACAAGCCCTCGGTTTTGAGCTTTGCTCTGCCTCGGAGTCCTCCCCCCCTCCCCCAACCGCACCTGCAGCCCCACCCACCACACCCGGTGCCAGGTCCCCTCCTGGCCCAGGAGGAGTCGGGGCCCCACTGTGCTGGGCAGCTGCTGTGTGCTTCCCTCCCCAGGTCTCGGGGAGCCCAGATGCGCCGGGCTGCCACGAGTGGGGTCACCCGCCCTTTGACAATGTAAGTTTAAAAATGCCTATGGGCCCTGGCACCCGACACCTGCGTTATCACAAAACGGGCCTCACAAACGTCCCTCCCCCAGCCCAGCTGCTCCGAACAATGGGCCCTTCAGCCTTTTCAACTCACCCCCTCCCCCGCCACGTGGGCCAAAGTACCCCGTGCCCCCTTCCTCCCACCGTTCCCACCGCCTGTGGAAAAAGAAGCTGGTGGTCATGAAGACGAGAGGGAAGACCTACAATTAACTTTTTCCAGAAGGATAGACTCATAACTTGAGACGATAAAAGGATGCCCTAGAAATTTAAAATACCTCCGGAGCTTGATCGTGACTGTGTTAGTTGTTCAGCCGGGCTTCCGAAGGTGCCACCAGGTTCTTCATTGCCACCAGGTTCTTCTTCCACGGGAAGTGGGAACAGGTGGGCGGGAGGGGGCCCCGGGTGCTTTGCCCATGGGTGGGGGAGGGGTTGAGTTGAAAAAGCGTAAGAGCCCATTGTTGGGAGCAGATGGGGGTGGGGGGGTCTGTAAGGCCCGTTTCGTGTTGTGAACACGCAGTCATACCCCGCCACCAGTGCAGTATCACTGTACAGGCAGGTTGAGGGTATGAGTCTTGATGGCATCTGGGGTTCTGCTAATTCAAACCTGGGCCGCCACTGCCTAGTGCCTGAGAGCCCAGGTACTGAAAACCAGGGGAATACGCAGCCTGCGCAGCACAGGCCGCGCCCGCCCGCCGCCCCCAGCTAACTGAAGCCACGAGAAAGTGATCCCGGGAGGGCTGAGCATTAGAAGTAAAAATAGCAGCAACGGAAAACCTTGACCTTCTCCCCCTGAAAATGGCAGGACTTGGAGCACCCGGCATGTCCCCGGGGAGCCTGTGCGGTTGCAGGTCGCAGGCTCAGGGCAGCAGCCAGGCTTCCGAATCCGCGTCCCCGGGAACCACTGGCTGGCTGCCCGTTGGCGTTTCTGAGTTTGGGGTTTTAGAAATCTCTCATTGCTTTCTTAGCGGGTTTCCAGCAACTAGCAGTTAATTGCCCCGAAATAACAAAATCGATCAAGTTGCACGTCATGCTCCACCTGGAGGACCTTGCAGCCCACCCGTGGGGCCGGGCCAGGCCTGGCTAATCGCTCCAGCTGTGGCCCG